CAACTTGAAAAATAGGAGTACTTCACATAAAAGTCCCTATTTCTGGCTTCTCCCAAATTGGAAGCGCTGGTGACCTCAGACCCGTATAAGCCCTCGGGGTGCCCAGAAAGCCAGGGGATGGGAGGGCGCGGCGGACACTCTGGTGAACCGCAAAGCCCAGGTGAGATGGCTTGGAGAAAGCCCAAAGCAGGCTGGGTGAGATGGGGGTTTGCTCCATCATTTCACCTGGGTGGCTGGAGGGCCACTGAGTTAGAGACCCCCTCTCATCTCCTCACGCCCACTTCCTCTTTTCTCCAGACTAACACCTGTGCTCCCCAGCTTGGGGCTAACGGGGTGGGGGAGGTGGCTGCACCCCTGGATCCTGATGGAGCTCACTCACTGGGCCTCCCCTCCCTGGAGGGGGATGCGTGCTTCTGGTGAGTGCTCCATTATTCGCATCGGATTAGGGTCCCCTGGGCCCCAACTCTGAGCTTCCTGCTGGATTGAGGTAGAAGCGTCTGTAATTACATCTCCCTCCTGCCTCCCACCTCTCAGCCGGCTCCAGCCCCGGTTGCATCATGTCTGTGGGAGCCTCGGGGGAGACTGGGGACAGAGAGAGCCAAGGATGAGCTGGGAGGGTGGGGGGCTGGGGAGGAGGGATGCCTGGAGAGAAGTTGCCAGAGGGTTCTGGAATTTCTCAGACCCAGCATCCTTGCCTCTTAAAACATGAAATGCAAAGGAATCTAGAATCGCGGGACCTCAGAGGGCTGGCGTTCTGGAATCTTTGAACCCTGGGGGGGTGGGGGGGCAGAATCCTGTTCCCTGTCGCTCTGGGATCCAGAACTCTGCACGTCATGAGTGTAAGGATGCCTTGAGCCTAGACAGTTGGGATTTTTAGACCCTTTAGACCCTCAGCCTTGAAATCTTGGGCGTGGGTAGTGGAGGTCGCTCCTCCTTGACACTCCTGGTCTCGGGGAATGGAAGTCAGGAGAAGCAAGGGGGCTGGCTGACCCCGTGGGGAAGGGAGGGTGGGCAGGAAGGGAGGTCCACCTGGAGGAGGAGGGGGGAGGCTGGAGGTGGTGGTGGTGATGGCTGGATGAGCCAGACAGAGCTGGTTCCCAGCTGACCAGCATCCATGTGTGCAAATCTGGGTAATCTTGTTAGCGGGTATGACTTGGGAGCACCAGCTTCTGGTCGCCAGCTGCTCTATCCGGCCAGCCCCCAGCTGTGAGGTCAGCTCTGGGGTCAGAGCCAGGGCAAGAGGCAGAGAGGTGACCGCCTGGGGAAGTGATTGCAGTCAGCAGTCCCTTCCCTCTTCACCCCAAACCCTGAGGGCTGCCCCTCCCAGGCTGCTTCCCCTCTGCACCCCACATGCTCCGAGAGATGCTTGGATCTTGCTGAAGGGGTCTGGGGGCTGGGTGGCCCTGAGCCACAACTATGACCATCACTTACTGAGGTCTTGTTTCCGAAACCCCAACCTCAATTCTTGGATAACCCCACCCCCCAAAGTATCCCCATTTTACAGACGTGGAATCAGGCACAGGGCGGTGGCATCACGTGGCCCAGTTAGGGGTGGAGGTGGGAGTGGGAGCCGATGGGTGAGTTGTTCCGGAAGGGGCTGGAGGTGTTGGGGGGGGTGCTTGAAGGATGGAAGCGAGAGGCGCAGCCCCCAGCAAAGGCAGGGCAGGGATGACAGAGTAGAGCCCCTTGGAGCAGGGCTAAGAAGCAGAGTCTGACAGGTTAGGCAAGGGCCCATCTGGGGTGCAGGAAAGGGTGGGGCAGAGGAAAATGGCCTCTGACCGAAGGTGTTGGATGGACGCACAGCAACATCTTGCTACAGCGCGATGGGCTTGGCAGGTGCGAGCAGCTGATGGGGTGTGTGCACACTCATTCCTGTTTGTGTGTAGGGTGGGGAGGGGCACGGGTGGGTCCATCCTCCTCCCAGGGCACCATCAGGAGTGGGGGAGTCAAGACAGGGTTGGGCCCAGGGCTGGCGGAGTGTTAGGTCAGCCAGATGCAGACCTGGGCAGGCCGCCTGAGGCGCTGGCCTGCGAGCAGGGGTGGGGAAGAGCCCTGGGGGGTGAGGATGACTCAGCAGAGGGCCTGCTGGCCCAGGCTCCAACCCAGCCTTCCTCTTCCTCCCCCTCTCCCACCCCTTGTCCCACACCACTTGGGAACCCGTGTCTGCCAGATGGCGCCCTCGGAGCCCCTCTGGGTCCCTCACCCTTCACACATAGTTAAGTGGGTCAGAGTCTGTCGAATGGATAATAACCATATACCAACAGCTATTTGAGGGCTTCCTGGAGGAGGCGGGCAGGGCAAATTCTGCCTCTGATCTCCACACCACGCCCCTAACAAGGGCAAGGCAGCCATTTGATGAAGAAGAACATCAAGGCTAAGCTCTAGCAAGTTGTTTTCCAGAGTCACAGGGCGGGTGGCCGAGGGGAGCTGCCAGAGCCCCTCTCTTCCCACAGCACCAGGCAGCCCCTTCACCTGCAAACACACACAGTAGACGCAGCCACAAAGAGGCCCACGGGCCCACGGTACACAGGCACAGACCCACAACAACATGCGCAAATGGACACTGATGGACCAATAGAGAAAGTAATGCGTGCTCACTGCTGGAGTGCGCGCGCATGTGCGCACGCGCGCACGCACACACACACACACACACACACACACACACACACACACTCACACACTCATGGTGCTGTTGCAAGGCTCTCTTGGGTTACACTAATCCCACACAGGCCCACACGTGAAGGTCACACGTCCAACACAGTCCCTAGCACACCCCGCCCCTGGGTGCCCATCCCCCTCCCTGCCCAGGTACGGAGCTGGCCACTGCCATCGGCCCTGGGCTGTCCTCCCCTCTGCCCCTGTCCAGGGTCCTTCTGCGGAAGCCTGAGTCTCATTCGAGATGCGGGAGAGAAAGGACGCTGACTCACCCGCCCAGGGCAGCTCCTTCCCACGGTTCCGCCACCGATGGAAGCCACCCCCTCCTGGCCCAGCCGGGGTGACCTCTCACCTCAAGGCACCTGGAGGAAGAAGGACCCTTTGCGACCCTTGCTGTGGGCAGGATGCCAGGTTCCCGGAAAGTGAGTGGAAGTACATCCAGCACTGACACTGGCCCCGGGGCTCCTGGTCGGGCGCAGGTGGGTAAACTGAGGCCTGGAGGGGGGCAGGATGTGTGAGGCCTCACTGGGCACGGGAGCAGTGTGGATTTCCTGAATGCTTAACGGTCCCCGGTGGGGACAGGAAGCCAGCGGGAGGGAGGCTCCAGGAACCGGAGCCACCCCATCTTTCCCCCGCGCACCCTCCCCACCCCGCCAACTCCCCTGATGCTTCGACAGGACATAAGCCTGCCAGGCGTCATCTTTCATTAATATGATACAACTTCCTGAGTTCCCTCTGGCCTGTCTGGGGACCACAGAGCCTGAGGCCCGTACACGCAGGCGCCCCCCTCGCAGAGCCCCTGCTATGGCTGGAGCTGAGGCCGGAAGCTGGGGATGCCAGCTGGGCATGGGTGATAGGGAGAGGGGGAGAAGGGGTGAGGGGGTTGTGGTCACTGAGGGGCATGAGCAGAGAGGGGAAGTCTGCAGCCACCCAGTGTCCGGCCTCAGGGATCAGGCACACCCCTCCTGGCCTTGGACATGAGGCAACATCGGCGCAGCCTCTCCGCCGTGCTACAAACAGGGCTCTGGCCATCGTTGGCCGCTGGGCCCGTGAAGCTGCTGGTAGCCCGTTGCACAGATGAGGAAGCTGAGGTACACTGGCTTCTCGTCCTCACCCAGAGCAGCGCACCACAAAGAGGTGGTGGAATGGGGCCAGGAGCTCAAGTCACATGGGGTCTGTGACCCCTCTACGGAAACAGCCTCCTCTAAAGGGTATCCGGAGGGTCTCTGGCCCTTATGGGCCTGGAGGCTGAATGGGAGGCCAGTGACTCAGTGGGAACCCGGGCTGATTAACAGCTGTGCTTGCGGCGGGGACATGCCGGCTGACCACCCAAGGGTGGCGGTGGCTGGGGGTGTGTTTGGGGAGGTGTGGGAGACATCTATCTGACACTGATCTTGGAGTCTTGGACTGCTCTCTGTGGCCAAAATATTATTCCTGGACGTCAAGGTCACCAGAGCTTGGCCTAGGGCCTGGGATAGCTAAGAGGGTGGGAGGGCTCTCCCCTCTGGTGCCCTTGGAAGTCACCGCCCCCCCCCCCCCCCCCCCCCCACCGAAGGCAGGACACCGAGTCCCAAGTCCCTCGAATCCCTCTTCCCAGGACTCGGCTGAGTGATGAGCCTGCAAGCCAGGATGGGCTCCAGGGACCGGCATTTTTTTCTCTGGCGCGGCCACCTCCTTCCCCAGCTTTCTGGAAGGAGTGAATTGTGTGTCCGGGAGCAGAAATCTCAGTAGTGCCTGTAAAACACTGCATCGGGGAGGAATTTCCTGGTCGTTTCTCAATCCCTGGGCAATGTCCTAACCCCGGGGCCTGGAGCCCAGAATAGATCCCGGAGGCCACCCCCTTCGGCCTCTCGCTCTGGGCAGCAGTGTACCCCTGAGGTCTTGTCCTGGTGTGTCCCCAGAGTGGGACAATTCAGTGATCCCCACACCGGCTCGCTGGGAGACACGGGGCAAGGAGGTGGACAGAGAGAGACCCTCCTGGGAGGAGGTGGCAGGTGGCTCAGGGACGGATGGCACCTTGAGGCGGGGAGGTAGAGGCAGGACCTGGAAGGTGTGCTGGGCAGGGGAGATGGAGGGAGCAAGCCAGGGGAGGCGGGAGAGAGCCTGAGGTTGGGGGGAGCGCCTCTGGAGCAAGCAGGGGGAGGGAAGGCGGGGCAGAGGGAGGAAATGAAAAAGCCAGGGCGAGGAGGGAGGGAGGGAGGGAGGAGGAGGGAAATAGGGAGAAGCTGACACGCAGAGACCGACACAGACGGACCTCGGACCTCGGGCGCACAGGAGAGCAGGGGACAGAGGAGGGACTGAGAGAGAAGGCAGACAGAGGTGCAGTGAGGAGGGGAGAGAGAGGGACAGGCAGAGGCAGAGAAGGGTGGGCGAGGGAGAGGACAGAATAGGGAGAGCCAGGGAGGAAAGGCAGGGAGAGAGAGGAGAGAGGCAGACAGACCGACGTGCGAGCTTGGGGTTGACCATGGGGAGGGCGGTGGGCCTCTGAGTGGGGCTCAGGGTGGCAGACCCTGCCCCCCCTCACCCCCCTGCCCCCTCGGGACCCCTCTAGTGCAGGAGGCGGGGCGGGGGGGGGGGATGGCCGATTCCTGCAGGAACCTCACCTACGTGCGGGACTCGGTGGGCCCAGCCACCAGCACCCTGATGTTCGTGGCGGGCGTGGTGGGCAATGGGCTGGCACTGGGCATCCTGGGGGCCCGGCGACGGTCACGCCCGTCGGCCTTCGCCGTGCTGGTCACCGGACTGGCTGTCACCGACCTGCTGGGCACTTGCTTCCTGAGCCCGGCGGTGTTCGTGACCTACGCCCGAAACAGCTCGCTGCTGGGCCTGGCCCGGGGCCGCCCCGCCTTGTGCGACGCCTTCGCCTTCGCCATGACCTTCTTCGGCCTGGCTTCCACGCTCATCCTCTTCGCCATGGCCGTGGAGCGCTGCCTGGCGCTCAGCCACCCCTACCTGTACGCGCAGCTGGACGGGCCGCGCTGCGCCCGCCTGGCCCTGCCTGCCATCTACGCCTTCTGCACCCTCTTCTGCTCGCTGCCCCTGCTGGGCCTGGGCCAGCACCAGCAGTATTGCCCTGGCAGCTGGTGCTTCATCCGCATGCGCGCCCCGGAGCCCGGCGGCCGTGCCTTCTCCCTGGCCTATGCCAGCCTCGTGGCGCTGCTGGTGGCCGCCATCATCCTCTGCAACAGCTCCGTCACCCTGAGCCTCTGCCGCATGTACCACCAGCAGAGGCGCCACCAGGGCTCACTGGTCCCCGGTCCCCGAGCAGGCGAGGACGAGGTTGACCACCTGATCCTGCTGGCTCTCATGACGGGCATCATGGCCGTGTGCTCCCTGCCTCTCACGGTGAGTCCTCCCCGCAGCCGGGGTGGGGGGAGGGAGGGCGGCACCCAGCTCCGTCCTCCAGCGGTTGCGCCCATTTCGCGGATGGGGGAAACTGAGACCCAAAGAGGTCAGAGGCTTTGTCTGTGGTCAGACAGCTGCCAGCTTTCTGGAGAAGAAGTCTCTCCCCATATGCTTCTGCCCTGTTTGACTCCTCCCGACCCCTCCTCTGCCCCCCTTCCACATCTCCAGCACCCCTCCAACCCACCCCGACCTTCCCCTACCCCCGTGATGATAATAAGATCCCCCATTCGTTGCACGCTTGCCCTAGGTCCACCCTGTGCTCTGTGGTTTATAAATTCTCTCTCGAATAGTCTTCAGATGACCTTCTACACCCATTCTGCAAGCACTTAGCAAGGAACTGAAAAAAGTTCCTGCCCCAGGGCTCTTCTTACAGATGCGGGGTGATGCGTCCTGCCCACGGTCACACAGAGCCGGGTCTGGGCCCCAGGCCTGTCTGATGCCAGGGTCTGCTGTCCCCACCACCTCCCATCCCAGCCCCACCCTCCCTCGGGCCCGGACTCCCCTGCTCTTGCCCCTTCCCTGCGCAGCTCCTGCCTGCGTCTCGGAGAACCCGGCCACCTGGCCGTCCGCCCCTGTATTCTGGGCCTCGGCTTCTCTTGCCGTAACATGCGACGGCTGGGCTAGATTAGAGGGCTGTCCAGCCTTTGGGGCCGGGGGTTACGGACAACTCAGAGACGGGACGGTGCGGACACGCCCAAAGGACCCCGGCTCTGTCCCTCCAGGCTGGTGGTTTCCTGGGGCTTCTCTCTCTCAGCTCCCCGGATGCCTTTCTTACTTCCTTTACATCTTATCTTATTCCCTTCTCTTTCTCAAGGGCGCCCCTCCCTCATTCCCGCCAGTGAGCAACGTGGAAGGAGGGGCGCGCGAGGGCGGGGCGGGGGGAGGATTCGCGGGTGCTTCTTGATGCCCTCGCCCTGCCCCCCAGATCCGAGGCTTCACGCAGGCCGTCGCCCCGGACAGCAGCGAGATGGGGGACCTCCTCGCCTTCCGATTCAACGCCTTCAACCCCATCCTGGACCCCTGGGTCTTCATCCTCTTCCGCAAGGCCGTCTTCCAGAAGCTCAGGGGCTGGCTCTGCTGCCGGTGCCCCAGGCCGGCCTGCGGCGGCTCGCACACACCCCTCTCCCGGCCTGCCCCGGGGAGGACAGACTCAAGGGCCCCCACTGATCCCGGGGGGAAGGAGGGGAGCTGGGTGCCTCTGTCGGCCCGGGGCGAGGGGCAGGGGGGACCCTTACTCCAGGCACAGCAGCCCGCCAGCACCATGGGAACGCCACCCAAAGAGGGGGCGGCGCCGGCCTGCTCCCTCTGCTGACCCAGCTGCCTGCCGACACCGGCCCTGACTTCCGGCCGCTCAGGGGCACCGTAGGGACGAGTGTCAGGGTCCTCGTCTGCTGGAGCCTTGAACCCCTGGATGCAGGGGGCGATCAGCTGCTATCCCCCTGGCTCTCCCCACGGCAGGCTCTGGAAGAGGGAGGGACGGAGGGAGCGTGGAAAGAACGGTTCTCTCAAAATAACTGGTGGCCCGGCCGGCCCGGTCTGGCCCCCGCTTGCCCATCCATCTCACTGTCTAAATATTTAGAAGGCGGGAAAGTTTCCAGAAGCTTCTGTGCACTCAGGTCTGCTCTGGTTCAGGTTCTGGCTCTGATCCTCACCCATTCGGGGTACTCGGCTGCCCTCCCCCCCAGTCCCCAGGGGACGTCCCTGCCCTCTCCCAGGCCACTCCAACAGCCGCCCTCTCTTCTGCCTCATGGGAGCCCGGGATTCTTGGACTAGCTCCCTGCCTCCCCTCACTCCCGATTTCCCACCAGACTTGGAAGGTAGGGGAGGGGACCGGAGGAGGGACGGATTGTCGTATGGTAGGTGGCACGCTGGACACGTGCCTGGGAAACTGCATGGCTTGGTGGCTTGTAAGATGTGGAGTGTGGGTGGGGGGCGGGTGCAGGGGGAGATGGAGCCAGTGGCCCGAGGACAAAGCCAGCGGAGTTACGCATCCCAGGGACCCCCCGGGGACAGGGACGCAGGCACAAGCCCTGGGCCTGCCCCTCAATAAACAGCTGCCCGCTTACTTACAAAGCCTGACCCCACCTCATGTGTCCTCGGAAGAGCCCTCACAAAAATGTCATTCATTCATTCCACAAACAGTGGGCACTGACCCTGAGGGTATTGGAGACACTGGGCTGGCCTCTGCCACCCCCAGGGCTCCGCTGGTGTGACTGCCAGCCTTCGGGGTTCTGGGCTTCACGGCCATCCCACAGAGAGGCCCTGAGATCAAGGGTGCTTGGGAGGGAGCCGCCTGGTGGGAAAGGAAGTGTGGTGTTTGTGGTGGCAGGCGGCGAACAGGGACTGTCCTTCTCTCCCAGCCCCTCCCAGTTCCCCTTTGCAGTTGCTCCAGGGTTAAAACCATAAACACGTATGGGGGGGGGGGGGAGGGAGAGAGGGACCGGAGAGGCAACAGCAGAGATAATCAGTGAGTCTTTTGCTGTGCAGGGCGCACCCTCTCTCCAGCCTATTATTGGAGCCTTTCCACAGAAACTGGAATCAAGGCCCAGAGAAGGCAATCATCAGCCCTGGGTCACACAGCGAGCATAAGCAGTCTCAGGGTGTAGTCCATCTTTCTATCTCACTTGGCTAGTGGCTTTGCCTCTCCGTGACCTGCCCTGACTTCCTTTTGTGCAGAATGGTGATGATAATGTAACGTTCAGTGTACAGGGTTGGCCTGCGGATTAACCCATTCCTCCTGAAAAGCAGTTTAGCGCAGCCTGAAATAAACACCGCAAGAAACGCTACTGTTACTGCCCTCCTTGTCGCTGCTATTGTTGTCTGTGGCTTGAAATGGGGGTTGACAAAAAGCAACACTTTGCTCCGATATTTCCCCATTTCTTTCTTTCTTTTTTCAGCCACCATGATTCGAATCGCATTACAGAAGAACAAGGGGTGTCTGGGAAAGTTAAAAATAGGTCACGAGGGGGGCTTCCTTTGGGGGTGATCAAAACGTCTGGAACTAGATAATGCTGATAGTCGCACAGCACTGAAAATGGACTAAATGTCTCTGAATTGTACGCATTAAAATGGTTAACATGGTACATTTTATGTTATGGGCATTTTTACCGCAATAAAAAAAATACATGGAATATTCAAAAAGAATTGAGCGTGTTCAGAAACTTCTATGGCGGTCTTACCAGAGTGACCTATTGGTTGACTTTAGGGGATCCCAAGCAGACTCCGGGCTGCCAGCGCAGAGCCCAAGGCGGGGCTCGATCCCACGCATGGTGAGATCATGACCTGAGCGGGAATTGAGAGTCCCACACTTAGCCGACTGAACCACCCAGGAGCCCCAAGGGGTTGGCTTTCCGCTGGCTTTTACTCACCAGCCCTAAGGTCTCAAGAATCTGCCCCCCTCCCCTGCCCCTTCCCCCTCCCCCAGCTTCCCACCCACATCCGCTGTTTAATAGCAGACCCCACCAGCTCTCTTCCAGGCCAGGGGTTTTCAAGCAGTCCTCACCCCGTCTATCAGCAGCCCTTCCGGGATGAGTTGGAAATTTGTCTCCTCGCTGGTGTCCTGACCCCTGACTGCCTGTGTGTCCCCCTCCAGGGTCCAGACCCAGTGGTCATTCCTTTGCTTGCCAAGCCTCAAGGGCTCCCTCTGGTGGAGGTCCAGGGACAGCGCCCTCCCTCTCTTCTCAGCCACAGCGGCGACCATGGGCCGCCCAGAGCCCGCGCAGGACCTGTGTGGCCTCCACCTCTCTGTGCACTGAGCTCGCCTTTCCTGCAGCAGCGCTCTCCCTCCTCCAATCCTCAAAAGCACCGTGGCCCTTCAGGTCCTGCTCAAACTACTCCTTCTCCTTTTTCCTTTTTAAGACTTTTATTTTTGAGTAATCCCTACACCCAAAGTGGGGTTTGAACTCACAACCCCAAGATCAAGAGTCGCACGGTCCACCAACTGAGCCGGCCAGGCGCCCCCAGTCCTTCTCCCAGAAGCCTCAGTCCCTCCTATCTCAGGCACGCTCGTCGCTTTGTGGGCTCCACGATGGTGCTCCCTGCAGCCTGCTCCGGCGCAGACCTCTGCCCGTTCATTCAGCAAGGTTCTTTTGAGACTTTGATGCCAGGGACACGGCAGTGACAGAGACAGCCCTGGTCCCGCTCTCCTGCGGCTCCTAGTCCAGAGTGGGCGGCGCTGAGACATGGGGGGTGGGGTGCTGTCCAAGGGGGACCTCAGGGAGGGCTTCCTGGAGGAGGGGGTGGCTGAGCGGGCCCAGAGGATTGCAAGAAAGTGAGCCCAGGAAAGAGGAAGGTTTCTGTCGTGCTCAAGGTGCCGTCCCTGGCCGCAGCCTCCTGCTTCTCGAGACTCAACAGACACCCTGGAAATTGCTTGGGGGCCCCAAGGCTGCACTGTGCCTGCGGGGATCTAGCAGTGACTGACTTTGCCTTGGCCCCGGCTCACTCATTTCCCAGTTGGGTGACAGCTTAATCACCGCAGAACTAAGTATTGCAAGGAGCAGAAAAGATGCAAAGTTGCAAGCTGGGATCTGTGCCGGGAGCACCGTGCAGGCATCTGGGGGCGCACAGCCCCGGGGCCTGCCTGGCGCAGAGGGGGCGTCGGGATGCCAAGGAGACTCTGTTCATTTAGAACTTCAGTCATTCTGGACTTCCTCGCCCTGGGCCTGGGCCACAGATGGGACTTGTGTGCATGGGATCACGCACGCGCGTGCGCGCAAACACACACACACACACACGGAGGCTGGTCGCCCCCAGCGGCCGCTCTCCGGGGCTTTGTACAGTCATTGCCCCACCTGCTGGCCACGGTGGGAATAACACTTAGGAGTGGTCCCAGCGGCCACTACTCACCCACCGGGAAGGGTGAACCCATGCGGGCCCCCTCGGCTAGTCACCTGCTAAGGACAGGGCTGGGCTGGCCTGGCAGACCTGCGAGCCTGAGCTGGGAACGATTCTGGTTCCAAGCATCTCTCTGGTTGGGGCGGGAGTCGGCTCCCTCAGAGCCTGCCCCGTGTCCGTTAGAAGCTCAGAGTGCCATCTATGTGTCTTTGATTAATAAAGAATGGGAAAGCGAAGTCATGATTATTTAATCACGCAGGCTTTTTGGGAGTAAAAGTCTTTCGAAACACAGGGCCCAAGGGGGAAAAGCACTGACAGGCGGGAGCGCAGGGCGTGGAGCGCCGCCGCTGAAAGCATGGCTGTTCGGGAATCCGAATTCTGGGGCTTTGAGATGCAGTTCCGCTGTGTCCGAGAAGCGAAGCGCGGTGTCACGGTGTCGGAGGCTTTACCTGCCTGGGCCCTCCAGGTTCCGGCAAGTATTTCAGGCCTGGGTGCCGAGAGCAGGGCACGCACACCCTCGCTGGGCGCAGGGCCTTGTTCCGACTCACTCTGGCCGGTGCGCCAATTACGTGAGATGTGCCTACAAAGGGGTTGGCACAGCCCTCTGAAGTGGGGGCTTTTCTTTTTTTTTTTAAAAATATATTTTTTTAATGTTTATTTCTTTTTGAGAGAGAGAGAGAGAGAGAGAGAGAGAGAGCGCATGAGCAGGGGAGGGAGAGAGGGAGAGTGAGAGAGAAAGTGGGACTCACTCGAAGCAGGGCTGGAACTCATGAACCCGGAGATCATGACCGGAGCCGAAGTCAGACGCTTACCCGGCTGAGCCGCCCCGGCGCCTTGAAGTGGATGTGTTATGATCTCCCTTTTACAGGACCGGTGTTATTTTCCATTTTGCAGAATGGTAAACTGAGGACCACAGGTTGTCAGGTAGGAAGTGGCACAGCTGGGCCTCGCGGTTGGGCAAGCCCGCGGACTCACGGCAGCGAGTGTCCGCACCAGGCTCGGAGCCCAGTTCCGTGGGGCACCAGACCTTGTCGTTCTCTCAACTGCGAGACCAGAATTTTCCACAGGCGTCCTGGCAGCTGAGACGGCAGCCCCCTTCTCGGACTCCACCACGGTGACCCCAGGCCCAGCCCAGCCTCCCGCTGGCTCTGGCTTGGGGCTGCCTGAAGTCAGTTTTAAAACGACCATTGAAACGACTGAGGCATGGACCCCTCGAGGTCAGGTCTGGTTCAGTTTCCAGCTCTGCCACTTTGGAGGTTGGCTTCAGTGACCTTGGGGGTAATCTCTTCACTTCTCCGGGCCTCAGTTTCCTAGTCTGCAAAATTGGGATTAACGGCACTCAGCCCAAACGGGCTGCCTGCAGGCTTCCGGGAGACGGACGCGGAGGCGAGCAGGGAGCCTGTGGAGTGGGGAGGGGTCTCCGGGAAAGAAGGGCTGCGGCTCGCTCTAGCCCGGGCCTGCTTCCCCGGGGCTCCAGCGGTCCTGGGCCAGCCCCAGGGGCACCTGCTACGGCGCTCCCGGGTTACGGTCGGGGTCATCTGCCCGAGGTCGCCCTGGTCCCCACCTCTCACCCATCACACTCTACTTTCTTCACTGCGCTGGAAGGCAGGCCACAGCCAGAGGGTAGCAGGGGGCCCAGAAGCTGGGGCTCTGGAAGCACGCCAGGTGCTCCCTGCTTGCGCCCCTGCGACGGGGGCCACAGGGGGAAGGCCCAGCCATGTCTCTGCCCCCAGGAAGGCCCCCGAGGTTGGATCCTGCTGCTGGCCTTCTCCAACCTCCCAAGGCCAGGGACGGGGAGTGCAAGTAGGTTAATTCCTCTGAATTTGGTCCGTGTCCCTCCTGCCCGGTGGAGGAGGTGGGGTGTCCGCTAACCATCCACTCCCTGCACCCCTGGGAACGGGGAGCAGGTGGGCTTTGTGGTTGGGGACGGGGTTCATGTATTTTGGGAGAAGGATGGTTATGCACCTCCCCTATGGAACCACCGGACCCCAGGCCTCGCTTCTTCACGCGCCTGCTCGCTAAGCCTTCTGGGGTTTGCAATTGTTTGGAGCTTGTTTCAAATCTCCCTGTCCGGTGCCCTTGCTGGGAGTTAAAAGCTGAGAGACGAGGACCACGTGGTACGTATGCGGCCAGACGTGGACTCCTCCGGTCCCCCCTCCCCAGAGCGCCCTGAGAACCCCTGCCAGGTGATACCCCCAGGGTCTGGCTCCTTGCTGCTCCCTTGGACGCCCATCCTTCGGGTGTCGCTCCCTGGGATGCTCTCGAGGCCCGAACTGGCCCCAGGCCTTCCCGGGTCACCTGGGGCTCACTCCCCTGCGGACAAGGGTCGGTGCGCCCCCAGCGGCTGCGGCCAGCGCGCAGAGGATGGCACCCGCCAGCGGTGACCAGGACCCGCCCGTGGTATCTGGCTGGGATCAGAACTCAGCTGGGAGGTTCCCTCTCGGCTGCCGGTGACAAGGACAGGGCTCCTGAGTGAGCACGGGGGCAGGGCTGGCCGGGGCAGGGCGCGGGCCCAGAAACAGAGGCGAGAGGGTAAGAGCCGAGGTAGGTAGTCACTGTATTTTATTGGAAAACATTGATATATATTTTTCTTCACAGCTTGAACTGAACACAATATTGCCCGGTTTAAAAAAAAAAATAAACAAACAAACCGAAACCTAAACCGAAACACTCCGAAAAACGTCCACAGCCTCACGCCTACCTGCCCTTAACCATCAGCTCTTGGCTGGGTCTCCCCCTGCGCCCCATCCCTCCCCTCCCCTCCCCCAGAGGCTGAGCGCCCCAGGGTGGATGAGGAGATTCTCAAAGCTGGGCAGGTCCCGGAAAAGCCACTTGAACAACCTGGGAGGGGTGGGGGCGGGGGGCAAGATGAAATGAACAGAAAAAGGAAAAAAGAAGAATCCAGACGACCGAACTGCCCACATTGACTTACTTGTCCCAGAGGCGAAAACCAGAAGCAAGGTCACGGATCATGCTCTCCGCTGGGGGAGGGTGGGGGCAGGCAGGCGGGGGAGGGCAGGGAGGGCACAGAGACAGCACGGATGTGAGGGAGCCAACCAAGTCACCACGGAGAAGCGGGAGGGGCCGGCTGAGCGGTCCTCCCTGGGCGGCCGGCCGACGACACGCTTTTATTGCAGGTTAGTTCTCTCGAGAGCGTGGCGGGGCTTGCCCTTCCCTCCCCACCCCTTCAGCTGGCCCGGCATGGGTTTTGACAGAGTCAGTTTTAGGGGGCATAAAGGAAAAAAAAAAAAAAAAAAGAAAAACGAAACCAGAGGATAACCTGTACATCACAAAGCAGCCCCCCCACATCCGTCCCGGCGCGGGGACCCGGGGGCGGGGGGCGGAGCGGCGTGGGACGTTAGCACCAGGTTACAGAACAGCCGGAGATCGCATTAGAAACAGGGGCGCAGCCGACCTGCAGGGCAGCCCCCCGCCCCACCCCGGCAAGTCAGCCGGACGGTGTCAGGGTGGTGGCCGCTGGGGTCCGAGCGCGGGCCACTCGGTCTGTCCCCTTCGGCGAGTCGGCCCCCTTGAGCCGTAAAAGAATGACGGCCTCCGGGACTCCCTTGCCCCTCGAGCCCCTCTCCTGGGCCACAGCCGGTCGACACCACAACTCCTCAACTCCCCCCCGCCCCCCCCGGTCCTTCCAGAACGCCGCTCTCGGCACCCCTGCCCCCAAAGGCTGCTGGGATGTGCACACGGAATCACGGGGCTGGCTGCATGCAATAACGAAAGGCATGCTCTCTGTCTGGGCGAGGCCTCACCCCTGCCTAGCAGGCCCCGGGACAGGGCTGGCAGCCACCCCAGCACCCAAAATAAGAGGACACACGAACGGAAACAAACCAAAATAGAGGAGAGCCACCCGGGCTGGAGGGGGGGGCAGAGGCTCCCCCGAGGGGAACGGGGCTCCACCTTATGAACGCATCAGGCCTCGGAAGATGTGAACGGGAGGGGGGAGGGTGAAAGGAAGAGATGAGGGGCAGGGGAGGAGACTCCGGGAGGGAGAAAGAGCAGTCATGCAGCTTGGGACAAATCTTTTGTTGCTTTATCAGATTCTCAGTCAATCAACTGGTGTTTGCTAGAACCGGGGAACGCAGGGGAGTGTTGAAGAGAGCGCGCGCGCGAGAAGAGAGAGATCACGAGAACGGGCATCACCAGCTGCCCAGGGGCCTTCACTTGGCCGTCATCATCTGTACGAACTCTGTGGGGTGAAGCAGAGAGCAGGGGGTCAGCGGGCGTGGAGGTGGGGGGTGGGGCGCGGCCGAGCCACCGGACACGGACAGGAGGGACCCGGGGCCTGTTCCTGAAGCTGCGACTGGCGCCCGCTCACCTTCATAGTTGACCTGGCCGTCCCCGTCGATGTCGGCCTCTCTGATCATCTCGTCCACCTCCTCGTCGGTGAGCTTCTCGCCCAGGTTCGTCATTACGTGACGGAGCTCGGCAGCGCTGATGTAGCCGTTGCCGTCCTGGGCGGGGGTGGGGGAGGGCCGTCAGGCACCCACGCTCGGCCGGGGAAGGGGGCCTCCGGGGGCCAGGTGTCCCGGGCCGCAGCCACCTGGCCCTCTGCTGGGCCCCGGAGCCGCCCCGGCAGAGGGCCGCTCACCTTGTCAAAGACACGGAAGGCCTCTCGGATCTCTTCCTCGCTGTCCGTGTCCTTCATCTTCCGGGCCATCATGGTCAGGAACTCCGGGAAGTCGATGGTCCCATTCCCTGGAGAGGGGGAGGGGAGCGCCGTCGGCCCGGGCCCGGGAGGCCACGCCAGAGCCCCCGGCGGGGAGACACCAGCTCCTCCGCAACCCCCTCCCCCAAGGAAGGCACCCAGTGGTCAGGAGAGGTGACCCAGAGCGGGGCCGTCCACCCCTCCCCGGGGCTCACCGTCCGCGTCCACCTCGTTGATCATGTCCTGAAGCTCCGCCTCGGTGGGGTTCTGTCCCAGGGACCGCATCACTGTCCCCAGCTCCTTGGTGGTGATGGTGCCATCTCCGTCCTTGTCAAAGAGGGAGAAGGCCTCCTTGAACTCTGCGATAAGAGAGGGAACGAGGCGGTGGTCAAGGACCACGGGCAAAGCCCTCCGTGGGTGAAGGCCAAGGGAGCCCATCCCACCTGAGGACACCAGAGCAAGACTGCAATTCCGGTCCGAGCCCCTCGCGGCAGTGCTCAGAGCAGACCCCTTCTTTTGGTCAACATTTATTGAGCACCTACTGCGTACCAGGGGAAGCTACCTGTTCAGCCAGCCTAGCTCAGCGAGGACAGAGGGGGCACACGGGCTGACAGCTGCTCTCAGAGACTTCTACGGCTCTTGTTGGGCCCCAGCCTCAGCCTCTCCCTCAAATGATGAAATGGACTAAAGTCATAGAGCGGACAAAAGCCAAGAGAACTCTTCACCGGAAGTGGGCCAGCCAAGGTCAACTGGCTGGGAAGGGACGAGGAGGCTGCGGGATGCTTGCCGTTGGCGGCCCCGCATCCCTCCTGACCGGTACCGCCGGTCCCCTGGGCCGCGCCGCTGGCTTCCCGAGGAGCGAGTGGCCGCATGTGACGCGGTGAGGGGGTGGTCGGCAGCAGAGCGTGGCTGGCGGCCCGGAGGGGGGGGGCTGGAAGGAGAGGGGCCGGCTGCCAAGCGGGCCGGGCGCTAGCGGCGCCGAGGGGGAGGGCCGCAGCTGGGGCCGCACCAGGAGCGGGGAGAGAAGCGCGCGGCTGCTGCCCTCCCACTGGGCCCGATTTGGCACCTGGCGCTCCCACCCCCAGCCCTCAGGGAACAGACGCCTGGCAGCCTCTTCCCAGCGGGTGTGGGCCGGGTGAGCGGTGGACAGTTTGCTGATGGGGACAGGGACGGGGTGCAGAGCGTCCTGCCTGTGGCGCGTAGGGCAGAGCTGTGGGGTGGAGGGCAGGTGCGGCAGGCCACATGCACAGCCGAGAAGCTGCGTCCCCAGCCTCTGGGCCACCGGGCCACGGGTGTCCCTGCGGCTATAGGCGCTGCCCCGGGCCGAGGCCTTGTTGTTCCGGGGGAGGGCAGGGGCTGGGTCGCGGGGGCTCCCTGAGCTCACGATCACCCAACAGGGAGGCTCTCCGGCTTTCCTCGGTGGGTCTCCATAGCCCCTGGGGCCATTTCCACACTGACAGTGTGACTGACCGTGGGCTGGGGGGGAGGGGACGACAGGAGAGACGCATGTCCACTCCGGCCTCCTCCACTTCCGATGTGGGGCCTTCGACACTCATCACGCAGCCCGCTGGACCTGACAGCACAGCCGGGGTCTGGGGGGTCGTTCCGAGTCCCTCCCCCGCCTACTTGGTGCTGGCCCGTGGCCGTGGCCGTGGACTGAGAGCTGCTCTCTGTGTTGGGAGAGGGAGATGGAGAAGTGCACTCGCTCACACGGCAGCGCCTGCAGCGGGGACCTTCCTGGGACCCAGGGGCCAGGGGCCCACAGGTATGAATTAGATGGGATCCCAGGGTTTCCTTTAGCTTCCTGGGAGACGTACGACCATTCGTTCATTCACTTGTTTGGCCAACAAAAACTACAGGGCACTGACTATGTGCTGGGCACTGAAGATACAGAAAGGACCCCCCACTCCTGCTCCAAAAAAAGCCCCCAACTCAAGGAGCTCACATCTAGTGACAGGGGACACAGCAGGTAAAGACAGGGGACAGTTTTGAGGGCGAGCTGAGCCGGGGAGTCAGGGATGGCCTCTCCAAGGTGACAGCTGAGCGGAGGCCCAAAGGATGGGGAGAGCCGCTGCTGCCAGAGGACGGTGACGGCCAGCACGTGCGGAGGGGAGCGCGGAGGCGGGAGTGACAAGCCATCTCCTGGGTGGCTCCTAAAGGGGGACAGGAGCTCTGCAGCCCCCGGAGGGAGGCTCGCCTCGGAGCCCCACCGGCAGGAGCTGGGGCAGACGGCTGGGTTCACCGCGTGGCCCCGAGCTAACCAAGGGCCCCTGGACTCCAGGTGAGGGGAGGAACACAGATTTGGCATCGGGTTAAGTGCCCATCTTGGGACCAGCAGGGGTCGGTGTAACCGGAGTGCAGTGTGCTCTTTTCCACGGTTCCCCACATTTCAAGCACAAGCCCCAGCATTAAACAGTGGAGGGAACACAGGCGGCTATCTGTCGGGTGCCATCTGCCGCGCACGCAGAGGCCTCCCCGGGGCAGCACGGGGAGGAGGAGGGGAGGCAGGCTCACCTGCGATCTGCTCCTCGGTCAGCTGGTCAGCCTGGAAAAACAAGGAGACAGTCAGTCACTGGGCCAGCCAGTCACAGCCAGCGCGTCCTGCTGGCTGAGTCCAGCCCCCTCTGGCGAGGGCAGCCCACATGCCTGCGCCCCTGAGCCCATCAGGGTGTGCGGGACAGCAGAGGGCCTGGCAGACAGTCTGGGGATTCACGAAGTCAGGGACTGAAGTGGACTGGAAACCCAGCCTGCCCGATGAGGGGCCTGAGCAAGTTGCCTGGACCCCAGGGCGGCCAAGCTTGGATGAGCGTGCCCCGGGGCCAAAGGGTGGGGACACGTGCCACGCCAGCCGCAAACCAGGTGCACGGGCACAGTGTGGGTTCGTTGTCTCGGGGTCGGCTTGGCTGTCGGGGGCTGCGTGCAGGGAGCAGTTGCCCTGGAGGCCCCACAGAGCAGCTCTAGAAGCCTCCACGCCAAAGCAGGCCAGTCCTTGGCTAGGACGGAGAGATGATGTCTGGGCTCTTCGCTAGTTTCTGTGTCACCTATTTGGAGGTGCCAAGTCCAAGCACAGTGGACCCAGCGGGCAAAAATTCTCCTAACGGGGGGCCCTGAACGGCCCTGAGTGCCTGGCGGAGACCCCCCATCCCCCGAGTGCCTGGAGGAGCCCAGTCAGTCCAGAGCGGCCACTCTATGTCCCTGCTCCTGTCCTGTCCTGCGTGCTCTTCCATTTCTGCTGGGCAGGAGGGTAAATGTTGGGGAGGGGACTGCAGCAAGCAGCGGGGAGGGGAGGGCGACAGGCTTTCAGGACTGAAGTCAGCGTCCAAGGCTTCGCTGCAGTTTTTAACCCTTTCCAGTCCTGGCCGCTCTGGGGACTGGCCAGCCCGTGGCGGGCGGCCCTTGCTGCATGCGGGGCTTGGGGGTGGGGCGGAGGAGAGGCCAGGACAGGCCTCCTCCGCACTGGTGTGCTGGGAACCCGCCAGGGGAGGGGCCTTCTGCAGGGGGGGCTGGGGGGGGGTGCTGAGTCTCAACATTCAGCCTCAGGCGGCCAATACACACACTCTCCCTGGTTTTAGTGAATGTCGCCAAGAAGGTGCCACTCTGCCTGGTGCCCAGATGGCTGCCCCCCTCCTTTGCTTTCACAATCGGGGGAAGGGGCTCTATGTCCACAGCACGGCTGGAGCTGTGAGGCCCTCAAAACTGATGCAAACTAGCTGCACCAGGGCTCTGCAGGCTAGCAACGACCCCCCCCCCCCAGTCCCAAACACTAAGAACTGGTCTAAGATGTCCCTTTCCTTTTTTTTCCTTTTCAATCTAAGGGAAGAGGAACTTGAGGCCAAGCCCCAAAGAGGCGGAATGGGAGGGGAAATCGATGATGACAGAGAAAAGAGATGGCTAGGGGAGGAGGAAGGAAGGTAGAGAAGGAAAAACATGGCCTGTGCCCATTCTGGAAAAGTCCGAAGTCTAACCGGAAGGTTAGCAGGACGACCAGAGGAAGTCTTCCGTACTGCCTTCAAAAAAGCCTTGGGGCTGCTGGGGGAAGGCGAGAAGAGAGGATGGGCACCCGGCAATGGCAGGGGAGGGGGAAGGGAAAAGAGGAGGGCAGAGTAACAGTCTGGGGGAGGAGGGCTGCCATTCCACCGGCTCCTCGTTCTCTCCCCCTCCCCTGCCCTAGAATGGAGAGAGCCGGCCTAATTGGGGGGCTACCGCACCCCTACCGCACCCCTCTTCGAGAAGCCCAATTCTTTCAGCCTTTGGGCAGCACCGTCAGGGGCTGAGACAGGTCACCTGGGCTGTCCGGAAGGGGCTCTGCAGGCCCCTGTCTGCTACTACCCTCAACCCGCTAGCTGCCACGGGCGGGGGTGGGGTGGGGGGAGTGGTGGGCAGCTGGGGCTGCTGCAAATAGGCGTGGCTCTGCCTATAGAACCTGTCAGAAGCGCTCCCTCCTCCCTCCTGGGAGTAGGAGACCCTTCCCCCTGCCCGAAGAAGGAAAGGTCCCAACTCCATGTTCTAGATCTGCTCTAGATCACAAAGCATGGCTGCTGCCCACGAGACTGGTCGCCCAAGAAACTATCACCACTGGGGGCCCCTCCCCGGGGCTTCTTCCCTTTCCAAATCTGAAGACGTTAAGCTTTCACAAAAACGGTCTCCAAGATCACCCAGCGGGTCTACTGCTTCCTTATCCCTCATCTTAGTCTCCAGCCAGATAAGAGAAAAAAAAAAAAACAAAAAACCTTGGGGTGGGGGAGGGAAGAGGGTATTATTTCTCTGCCGTGACCCAGCCCCCAGCCAATGCCAGGGAGCAGTGTTAGATGAGATCAGAAACCAAGGCCAGGGCCCCTCACTCGGGCCAAGGCGGAGCCCCGGCGCCCAGGCCGAAGTCCAAGGCCAGTTCACAGTGGCTCGTCCCACCCGAACCTTGCCCATTACAAACGGGAAGAGAAACTAGCTGGTGCCCAGCTCAGGTCCTCGCCGGGAGGTGGGGGGCCTCCTGGCACCTGCCGGAGCCCCAGGGCCCCTTCTGCAAGGTCCAGCGGGGCGAAAACGGGGTGGCGGCAAGAGGAGCCACCAGGCCTGTGTCAGCAAGTATGAGATCTGATACAAGCGGCGGCTCCTGGTTCTCCCGGCCTTGCCAGGGGGGGTGGCTGCGCACGGTGCCGAGGCTGAGCCCGGGGGGGGGGCCGTGGGGGCTGTGGGTGGCAGGGCGCAGGAAAGAGCTGTCTGCTGCTTTTCGCGGCAAGCCCTTGCAGCGTGAACTGACAGCAGCGCTCGCTGAGGGCCCCAGGCGGACCCAGTGGTCCTCAGGCAGACGGAGGGGTCCCTCTGGAGACCCTCTCTGTTCCAGCTCTGCAGTCCCCACCCCGAGGCCCCAGGAACAGGCGTCCGATTGTCACCGACGCCACACTGTACTGCACTGTCATTTGGCACGAGGGAGGTGCAGAACGAGGAGAAACCCGGGACTCCTGTTCGGAAAAAGCAGCTCTCCGGGGTCGCAGAGGGGCGGTGACGGGGTGAGATTCTAAGCTCGAAAGGCTGGCTCATTCGATGCATCCCAAACTTTGGCCCCCCCACCCCCATTTCATGCGGCTTCAGTGCGCAATGAGGGGCCTGAACAACTCCGCCCACCGGCTCCCACTGGGCTGGGGCGCCTCCTGCCCAGCCCCATTCTTCCTGGGGAGGGGGGACCGTGTGGCCACTCCCTTTGGCCTCTGCAGCCCCCTCCCCATCTCGGGGGAAGAGTCTTTGCCTTGGTCCTTCCCTGGAGACTTCCAGGGAGCTACCCACATCCACTTCCAAATCGAGGCCCACCTTGGCCGTCATTCATCGTCTCCTCCAACACCCCCCGCCCCCGCAGGCCTCCCACCACCGGAGCCAGAGTCCTCTCCCACCCCCACCTTCTTCTGGACCCGACACAACGCTCGGCCCCAGCCCCCTCCCAGGAACGCCAACCTCCCTAGTCCAACAGCCTCAACCCACCAGTAACCTCAGAACCTTTTCTGGCCGCCCCCCAAATCAAGCACGCGGCCTCCCGCTCCCCCACCACTGGCAAGGGACGGCCTCGCCGCTCCCTCTTCACCGCTTCTCCGACCCCAATCCTTTTCAGTCCCTGCAGGCTTCCAGAGCATCTTCTAACCTCCGCTGCCGCCCACCCCAGGCTCTTCCTCTCCTAAGCTTGCACCTCACCCTTCTCCTACTTCCTCTGCAATGCCGGTCTTTGGAGAACAGCTCCCCCCCCCCCCCCCCGGGTCGGATCTGCAGAAATCACCCCCATCCCTGCCCCTCTCCCCACCCCGGTCCAGCTACACGCGGCCCCCAGCAGCCTGGCTTTCCTCTGGGCTCCCTTCCCTGCATCCTTTTAGGATCCAAAGTCTTCATCAGGGCCCAAATACCCCCCTTCCCCAGCCTGTGTTTCTTACCTCGCCCCCTATGGGGTCCAAACACCCCATCTCAGAGACCAAACGCCCCACCCTGGCTCCAAACGCCCTTTCTGGGGTCCAAACGCCCCCTGTGAGGGTCCAGATGTCCCATCCCGGGTTCCAACGTCCCCTCTGAGAGCTCGGGTGCCCATTTTGGGGTCTAAACACCCCACCTGGTATTAAAAGTCGCCTTTGAAGCCCCAAAGCCCCTTCTGGGATCCAAATGTCCCGCTCTGGGTTCGAAGGTCCCCCGGGCAGAAGGGGCTCCAGAGGCGCTCGCCGGGGACCCAACACCCCCGGTTCTGGGTCCACTCGCCCCTTCGGGAGTCCTGCCCGCCGCGCCCGCCTCCGAGCCCCAGCCTGGGCAGTCCCCCAGCCTCACTCACCATGGCGAGGCCGGGGTGTCCGGAACGCGGGGATCAAGGTTCCTCCGGCGGCGGCAGCAGCTGCAGCAGCTCGAGCTCCGCCGCGCGTCCGCGCCTCCACACTCACTGCCCGCAGCGCGCGCCGCCGCCACCTCCCGCCCCAACGGTCCTTCAACGGCCGCCGCGCGCGCGCCCCGCCTCGCCCGGCCCCGCCCCGCCCTGCCCGCGTGCCGCCGCACTGCGGCTCCCACGGATCCCTCCGCGCCCCGCTCCGCACCGACGAGCCCGCGGATCTCTCGCGCCCGCCCCGCGCAGGGCCGGGTTCTGCCTCCAGGCGCGCACGCGCGGGCACGCGCCTCGGCCGCGGGACTACTTTCCGTTGCCGCGCGCCCCGCCCTCTGCGCTCCAGTCCACGGGCCTCCCCGGCGGAGGGGCACCACTCGGCGGCGCGTGACGCGTCCCTGTGTGAGCCGAGCCGCTATTGGGTCCGGGCCATGGCGGAAATGAGAGCACGGCACCGATTGGTCCGGCCTTCCCTGCAATGCGTCAAACCGGGGCGAGCCACTGCGTGGTCGTGGTGGGAAGCCTGAAGTGTGTGGCTGCGGGGAGCCGGGGGGTGTAACGAGGCGAAGGGAGAAACTGTGTGGCCATCAGAGACGCAAATGTACCGTCTTGGTGGTCGGGGAATGGTACCGGGGCTGGCGAAAGATGCAGAAGGACTATCTCGGCTCTCCCCTCTAACAGATGAAAGATGGTGCAACCCAAAATTCTGGGGTCTGGAAGCCCCGCCCCCAACTGGGCCCTACTTGCTGGCGGGGTCTTCAAGGTTCGCTTCGCGAAGGTTCCTCGTGTCGCGGCTGCCGTCTGCGCCCCGACACACGCCCCGCAGGTGTGCGGGACCTCTATCCGCGCTTCACGCTTGATCAGCTCAGAGTCCATGAAATCAGGGCCGTAGCAGGACAGCCTCTGGGAACAGGACACTCATTCATTCAATTCATAAGCACGAATGGGGCGCGTGCTGTATGAAGCGACCTGTGTTGGGCCGGGCTGGGGAGACCATACTTCCCAACCATTGTCCTGCTGTCTCCTAGACCCACCTGAGTCTTGCACTTCTCTTTCCAAGGTTCTAACCACAGAAAGGAAAAGGATGCAAAGATTAGCCGACAACTGTTTACTGGAGCTCCAAAACAAAACTCAAACCTGTAGGAGCTGCTGTTCCTTTATGTGCCCTGCCCCTCGCGCCCCCGCAGATTGGCTGAGGGATGGGCAAGGAAGTCAAGCTGGACCAGTCATGATGTCCCACCTGGAACAGACTGTAGGGGGAACCAATGGGAGTCTTTCCCTGGGTTTTTTGGGTCCGGATGTTGGGGGCAAGAAGCCTATTCCTTATGGGGGCGCATGGCTGATTCAATTGGTAGAGCTTGTGACTCATGATCTTGGGGTTGAAGTTGGAGTTCCACACGGGGTGTAGAGATTAGTTAAAAATAAAATCTTCAAAAAAAAAAAGCCTTTTCCTTATGGATAGTGAGGCTTTGAAGGAAGAGGTCCAGAGCTGTTTGTCTGTGGCCATTTTCCCACTGCTGGAGGATAGAATAAAAGTGACACCAGGCAGGAGCGCCTGGGTGGCTCAGATGGTTAAATGTCTGACTTCAGCCCAGGTCATGATCTCACGGTTTGTGAGTTCAAGCCTGGCATGTGCGTTCAAGCCCCGTGTCGGGCTCTGTGCTGACAGCGCAGAGCCTGGAGCCTGCATCGGATTCTATGTCTCCCTCTCTCACTCTCTCTCTCTCTCTCTCTCTCTCTGCCCCTGTCCCACTTGCGCTCTGTCTGTCTCTCTCAAAAATAGGAATAAAAATTAAGGAAAAAAGCCAACCTGACCCCAGGGAGAAGCAAATAAGACCTGGAGTGAAAGCCCTGTTGATAATTACTTTCCCGGGTCCAGTACTCTTGAGGCCACCTGCACACCGTCATGGGGGAATTTTGATTACACGAGCGATTAAAATTTCCCTTGCTCCCAAACCAATTAGAATGTTTGTCACTTGTAACCAAAGAATTCCCGATGGAGATGATCTAGGCTAACCTCTGTCTTGGTCATCGGCACTGGACCTGAAATAGAAGGCCAATGACCCCATTCAACATTTACTGAGCAAATAAGCAAAATGTAGGCAGGTTCATGCTCTCTCCTTCTCGCTGTCTTTCTCTTTTTCTTAACTCTGAATTTCTACCAGGCAGATCTTAACTCCTGAATGACTTAGAGTTCTGAAATAGTCAAGACACTGCCAGCAACATCTTTGAGCACTTATGCTCTTCCACGCACTATTCCAAGCACTCTGTGTGGGTTAGCCCGTTTAATTCTTATGGCCTCTCTCAGGCTTTGTTCCTTCCTTTTTTTTTTTTTTTCATTTGCTGAAACTGTTTCATTGCCCCTGGAATTAGATGAGACCAGAGAGGTACGGAGGCTTGGCCAAGAACAGAATTGAAGTAGCTTGCCCATGGTCACCCTGGAGAAGGTAGAATCAGGATGTGAACCCAGGCAGTTTGATTGAAGAGCCCACTCTTTTTTTTTTTTTTTTTAATTTTTAAGAGCTTGCTTTTTTATTTGTTTATTTGTTTGTTTAGAGAGAATAGAAATAATGGGGGCACCTGGGTGGCTCAGTCAGTTGAGCGTCCAACTCTTGATTTTGGCTCAGGTCATGATCCCAGGGTTGTGGAATTGAACCCCATGTCATGTCACGATCTCACAGTTCATGAGTTTGAGCCCCGCGTCCGGCTCTGTGCTGACAGCTCAGAGCCTGGAACCTGCTTCGGATTCTGTGTCTCCCTCTCTGTCTGCCCCTCCCCCGCTGATGTTCTGTCCCTGTCTCTGTCTCTCTCTCTTTCTCAAAAATAAATAAACATTAAAAAAAATAAAATGAGCTTTCCTTTTATTGATTTTTACACCAGGTCCAGTGGATCCATGCCACAATCTGGTGACCCTATTATTAAAAAAAATTTTTTTTAATGTTTTTTATTTATTTCTGAGAGAGAGAGAGCATGAGCAGGGGAGGGTCAGAGAGAGAGGGAGACACAGAATCGGAAGCAGGTTCCAGGCTCTGAGCTGTCAGCACAGAGCCCGACGACGTGGGGCTCGAACCCACGAACCGTGAGATCATGACCTGAGCTGAAGTCGGACACTTAACCGACTGAGCCACCCAGGCACCCCAATACATCTACATTTCTGATTGTTCCTGACAAATGGCTCATAATTATGAAGTGACCCTCTTTATTTTGGGTAGTTTCTTGTTCTGAGGTCTACTTGCTCTGATCTCAATATAAACACTCCATGTTCCTATATTTTCTTTATATTTTTTGTTTTCATGATATGTCTTTTTCTACCCCTTTACTTAAAAATTTTTTTCAAGTTTATTTATTTATTTTGAAGGAGAGAGAAAAAGAGAGAGAGCACGAACGTGATAGGGACAGAGAGGGAGAGAGTGAGAACTCCAAGCAGGCTCTGCGCTGACAGTGCATAGCCCGACATGGGGCTCGAACTCTCAAACTCTGAGATCATGACCTGAGCCGAGATCAAGAGTCCGATGCTTAATCAACTGAGCCACTCAAGTGCCCCTCTACCCTTTTACTTTTGATGTGACTCTATATTTAGAATGTCTTTCTTGTGGACAGCGTATTGTTGGGTCTTGCTTTTTTTTTTTTTTTTTTTAATCCAGTCTGGCAATCTCTGTATTTCAATCAGAGTGTTTGGCTCATTTATATTTAATGTGATTAATCATATGGTTTGAAGTTTGGCACTTTCTTTTTTTTTTTTTTTAAATGTTTTATTTATTTCTAGGAGAGAGAGACAGCGTGAGCAGGGGAGGGTCAGAGAGAGAGGGAGTCACAGACTGAAACAGGCTCCAGGCTCCGAGCTGGCAGTCAGCACAGAGCCCGACGCGGGGCTCGAACCCACGAACCGCGAGATCATGACCTAAGCGAAAGTCGGAAAGTCGGACACTTAACCGACTAAGCCACCCAGGCGCCCCTAAGTTTGGCACTTTCTATTTGATCCATTTGCTATTTGTTCCTATTTTATTTTTTTTTTAAATATTTTTATTTCTAGGAGAGAGAGAGAGAGAGACAGCATGAGCAGGGGAGGGTCAGAGAGAGAGGGAGATACAGACTCTGAAACAGGCTCCAGGCTGGCAGTCAGCACAGAGCCCGATGCGGGGCTCGAACCCACGAACTGCGAGATCATGACCTAAGTGAAAGTTGGACGCTTAACTGACTAAGCCACCCAGGCGCCCCTATTTGTTCCTATTTTCTTTTTTTTTTTTTTATTTAAAAAAAAATTTTTTTTTTAATGTTTTTATTTATTTATAGAAGAGAGAGAGACAGCGTGAGCAGGGGAGGGTCAGAGAGAGAGGGAGTCACAGACAGAAACAGGCTCCAGGCTCCAAGCTGGCAGTCAGCACAGAGCCCGACGCGGGGCACGAACCCACGAACCGCGAGATCATGACCCAAGTGAAAGTCGGACGCATAACCGACTAAGCCACCCAGGCGCCCCTTGTTCCTATTTTCTTATCTTCTTTTAGGTAAATTGTGTGTTGTTTATTATTCCATTCTTTCCTCTGTATTTATAAAAACTTCATATTTTAGGGTAGTTTTAGATTATAGAAAAGTTGTAGAGAGTACAGAGTCCCACAGACTCCACACCCAGTTTCCCTTATTATTGATTTTACGTTAGCATTGCTCACATCTCACAAGTAATGAACCAATACTGATACATTATCTTTAACCAAAATCCAGGCTTTCATGTTTATCTAATGTCCTTTTTCTGTTCCAGGATCACATCACTTTTATTCATCATGTCATTAGCCTCCTCTAGACTATAGCAGTGTCTCAGACTTTCTTTGTTTTGATGACCTTGATAGTTTTGAGGAATACTGGCCAGGTCTTTTGTAGAACCTCTCTTTGCTGGTATTTATCTGATATTTTCTCATTATGGATTGAGATTATGGCCATTCTCATCACATCATAGGAAGGGTCCAGGACTTATCACTATTGATGATAACCTTGATGAGCACTTGGCTGACATAGTTGTTCATCAGATTTTTCCACTGTAGAGTTACTGTTCTCCCTTCCATCCCTATAGGTGCTCTTCAGAAGGAAGTCACTCTGCAC